TACGTTTCTCTGATGCTCCCTTGAAGCCATAGAATTTAGGGGCTTTTTTTAAAAAATAAAAGAAAAATGAAACCAAACCCAAGTGTAGTGTCTGGACTTTCCACGAAGCTTGACCTGGAACGGGTAGCGTCTCCATCCCCATCCTGCCCACCCAGGACAAGTCCGGGAGTGGCCGGCGGCCTCCGGTAACAGAAACCAACTCATGAGGCAGAAGGTAAGGAAGACGGAAGCAGAGGGCAGAGCTGGGCTCTGGGGAGAGGGCAGGAGACGAGTGTTGGTGTACCATGGAAAGGGGAAGTCACATACATGCAGCTGTGGCCCTGGGGGTCCTGTTCTCTGATGCTACACAAATACACCCGAAAAGCTCCGTGGCGGAGCCCAGGCAGGATGGTCCTGGCTGCCTCTGACAGCGGAAGGCCTCCGTGACTCCCTGTGTTCATGCAGCAGGGTGGAAAACGTCCCCGTGGGGGCCCACGGCACGGTGACGGGAATCCGCAGTAACTCCCGGAGGAACAGTGGAACCTTCAGGCAGGTGAAGACCGTGGCAGCGCCAGCCCTGGCTCCGTCCCATGCCTTCTCCCCACGCTGCAGCTGCACTGCAAGGGGAGTGGAGGCAGAAGCCCCCGAATGCCACGTGGGGTCTTTGTCGCCACCCACTCGTCTCCTGCAAGGCTTCAGGCGGGGAGAAGGCAGCAGAGGGTGCGGCAGGGAGGAAACTCCTGTGACTCCTCCAGTGACAGCCGAGAAAGCTCACCCTTCCCAGACAAGTCACCAAGAAGCTGAAGGGGACAGAGGTCCCTTCTAGGAAGCACTGAAGACCGGAAACCCATCCCGGATCAGAGACTCAGAAACTAAGCACAGAAATGGACAGCCCTCCAAAAATGAATTCAGGAAGAAAACATCAGAAAAGAATTGCTTTTGGAAATGAATAAATTGCAAGGTGCCCAAGACCCTCATTAAAATCGGAGGAGAGGCACTGAGGGCAGGAAAACAAGATGAAAGAAGACGGGAAACTGCCGAACGCGGCACAGAATCCGGAAGATGGGCCAAGAAGGGCTGGTGTTTGAGTCTTTGAAGAGGTGGAACAGAGCTAGCATTTAGGACTCTTGTCCAAGGAAGCTTTGCAGAAAAAGACCTGAACCTCCCACATGGAACGTACATCTGGGAAAATGAAACCAGAGTGGGCGCGGTGGCTTACACCTGTAATCCTAGCACTCTAGGAGGCTGAGGTGGGCAGATCACCTGAGGTCAGGAGTTTGAGACCAGTCTGGCTAACATGGTGAAACCCCGTCTCTACTGAAAATACAAAAAATTAGCCAGTCGTGGTGGCACATGCCTGTAATCCCAGCTACTCAGAAGGCTGAGGCAGGAGAATCGCTTGAACCCGGGAGGCGGAGGTTGCAGTGAGCTGAGATCGTGCCACTGCTCTCCAGCCCAGGCGACAGAGCAACACTCCCTCTCCAAAAAAAGATCTTGTCTCAAAAAAAAAATTTTCTTTTTGAGACAGAGTCTCAGTCTGTCACCCAGGCTGGAGTGCAGAGGCGCGATCTGGGCTCACTGTAAGCTCCGCCTCTCAGGTTCACGCTATTCTCCCACCTCAGCCTCCAGAGTAGCTGAGGTTACAAGGCGCCCACCACCACGTTTGGCTAATTTTGTTTTTGTATTTGTAGTAGAGATGGGGTTTCATCCTGTTAGCCAGGATGGTCTCGATCTGACCTCAGGTGATCCACCAGCCTCGGCCTCCCAAAGTGCTGGGATTACAGGCGTGAACCACTGTGCTCGGTGAAAATTTTTTTTTTTTTTTGAGACGGAGTCTCACTCTGTCACCCAGGCTGGAGTGCAGTGGCCGGATCTCAGCTCACTGCAAGCTCCGCCTCCTGGGTTTATGCCATTGTCCTGCCTCAGCCTCCCGAGTAGCTGAGACTATAGGCGCCCGCCACCTCGCCCGGCTAGTTTTTTATATTTTTTAGTAGAGACGGGGTATCACCATGTTAGCCAGGATGGTCTTAATCTCCTGACCTTGTGATCCGCCCGTCTCAGCCTCCCAAAGTGCTGGGATTACAGGCTTGAGCCACCGCGCCTGGCTGAAAATAATTTTTTTAAAGGTGAGACCAAGGGTGGAAGACCAGGATCATTGTAAAACGTTGTGACAAAGCAGAAATAATGCACCTGTAAGAGTCAGATGGCAAGAGAGAAATGGGCTGATT